ATAATTGAACCAAATAAAATTAAAAAAAACATTTTTTAATTATACTTTTATTTTGCACCATTCTTTAGCACTATGCAAAAATGGTTCCATACTCATAAGTGATAAATTAGAAATAAAAATACGATATACATAAGTAACTCATAAGCAACTAACTTAAAATCAAAAATAGTAAAAGACAAACTGTTTTAACGTTTAAAAAGTATTAACTAATAGTGTCATCTGGGAATATAAATATCATTATGGGAATAATTACCCCATATAGAGAGAAATAAATAGAAATAAATTATTAAAATCACCTAAAATAAAATAAGAATATTAAAAAGCAAAAAAAAACAGCAACAACTATAAAATAACATTTTAAACCTAAAATTAGATAATTTAAATTATAGTTTTTATTTCATTTAGTTTTATTTTTTATTATTTTATCTTAAAGTTCGTTAAATAAATAAAAATTGAAAAGAAAATATTTGGCAAAATACAATATTCCAACTTTCAAATGTGGGCTAAGCTTTTGTGTTAAACTGTATACCCTTTTATGATGTGAAAAATTTACTTAAAGGAGATATCACTTTTTCTACAACTTATAAACTTTTCAAATATCAACTTTTTTATCACCTTTTTAATTATCATCTTTATAACTATCAAATTTTTTTATCAACATTCTACTTTTAATCTATCACTTTTATCAACTTATCAACATTTCATCTATCACTTTTTCTAACAACATACCAACTTTTCATCTATCAACCTTTTTCTATCAACTTAACAACTTTTTTTCAATTTGTCAATTATCAACTTTTTTTGGTCAATTTATCGACTTTTCATCTCACATTTTCTATCAATCAGCTTTTCAAATATCAACTTTTTTATGAACTTACCAACTTTTCATCTGCCACTGTTTTATCAATTTATCAACTTTTCAAATATCAACTTTTTTTACCAACTTACCGAATTTTCAACTATAAACTTTTTATCACCTTATCTCCTTTACAATTATCATCTTTATAACTATCTACTTTTTTAACAACTTATCAACATTTCATCTATCGCTATTAACGCCCTTTTCTCTTACCCATTGTCCGACTGTTTTCTTAAGCCCATCGACGAACACTTTCTCTTGCTTAATACTCGAACTCTTCCAACCATTGCCAAACCCTTTTCACATTTACTGGACACTTTTCATTTGCCCGTTATTGGAACTCTTTCCTTGGTCTTACATAATACGAATAACAATAAAAACTTATAAATATCGATTATCAACTATTTTCTTTTGGGATATCAACTATTTTCTTTTGGGATATTTTGTCATTTTTAAACAGAAACTAAACACAACGCCAAGCATAGCAAAATTCAATGCTGTGGACAGACAGATAAACAAAACATTCTAAAATTATATATAGGATTGGATATTTAATTAATAAATATTTAATATTTTTCTTTTGTTCAAGTCGAATTTTTAATTCTTAATTTAATTTTTCTTTTGTTTAAGTCTTTCTTTGCTAGACAGTCAAATGATTTTTAATTCGCTAATTGACATCTGACTAGTCTATAATTATTTTATCGAGGCTATTTGGTAAAATCAAGAAAATTTTTTACGGGTAAGTCGAGACAATAAGTAATAATTTGCTGGGTAAAAGAATATTCTAGAAAAGTTACAAGAGAGAAACAAAAGCAACGCAACATTAAAAGTTTTTTACGCTAAGTAACTAGTACAATAATTGAAAAATTTAATGTTGAGCTTTAAATTTGAATTTTTATTAAAAATTTTAGAACTTGACAATTAACTCTAATATTATGAAGAAAAACATTATCGACATATAAACTATCTATTATAGGATTAAATATCAACTAATATTATAACATTTAATTCAATAGAATATTAGTTTTTTGAATAAAATATTTAAATAAAATATTAAAAATAATATTAAAAAATTTTTTTAATTTAAATAAACATAATAGAAAATCTGATAGATTTAATTTTTAGACGTAAAGTATCGGAAAAAATCAAGCATTTGCAACAAATCTGTAATATCTCTGGCAGAGAGTGATTGAAAATTTTAACTTTTAGTATAGACTTTTCCTTTTGTTTAATGATTATTATTGCAAAATTTTAATAATAATTTTAATTAATAAATATAGGAGAAATTATGTATCTACTTGTTGTTGTTGATGTTATTATTTCATAAAATTTGATACTATATTTGCTATTTCTTTGAGTTGGAGAGTTATTACATGAGTTATTTCGTGTTGAACTTGGGGATTTTTATAAGGCTATAGTGCTTCTAAGTTTTTAACAAATAGTTTTAAATTTAAGATAAAAAATAAACTTAAAAAAATAAAATAAAATTTTTATAAAATAAAAATGTACATAAATTAAAGAAAATTAAAATAATTTGTTGTAAATTATAAATTTATTTAAATAAAATTAAAAAAGATTTTTTAAATTAGCAAAAATTGTAAAATATTAAAAGACTGTCTTTAATCTTTACTATTGTCATTTTGTTGTTATCTATTTTCATTTTTAGTTATTTTTAGTTATTTTATTTTTGGTTTAGGTTTTTTTGTGAATATGCGTCCCATGAAAATAAGTTTTTTAATCCTAAAGAGAGTTATGCTCCCAGTAATTTTCTATTTATTTTTCCTTAGATTAATTGGATATTTAATTAAATAAATTAATTTAATATTTAACATCTCGCCTTTATAATTAATTTTTTATTTTGTTTAATTTTAATTTTTAATTTTGAATTCTCTTTTGTTTAAGTCTAATTTTTAATTTTCAATTCTTAATTTTAATTTTTCTTTTGTTTAAGTCTTTCCTTTGCTAGACAGTCAAATGATTTTTAATTCTCTTATTGACATCTGACTAGTCTATGATTATTAGATCGAGAAAGTCGAGATGCTGCAGGAAAGACGAGATTCCGAGATAGGAAAATATGACATGAGGTAAATAATTGTTTGACTTACTGATAAAAAGAATATTTAGTCAATGTTATTAAATGATAAACAAAAGCAACGCAACTTTAAAAGATTTCGGTACAAAATACCATTGCCGTAATGATATTTAATAATGATTATTATTATTTAGTTAAGGAAAACACAATTTTAATAGAGTTTCTTATTAAAAATTAGAAAACGCATTATATAATACAAACATTGTAGCTTTCTTTTGCTTTTTTTCTCTTTTAAAAAAAGGTAAAACTACTGATTTACTGAAAACTACTTAAAAACTACTGAATTTAATATTGACTCAAAAAACTCAAAGTTTTTCAGTAAAAATTTATCCGCAAATTCAAAAATCTAGAAGCCCGATCGGAAATCCATAGGCATGAGAGCATCAAAAGAAATTTCTTATCGTCTCGCTATATTCTACGAGACCTTGCTCGAGGTCTAATAGCGAATAGAGGAGGAGTTTTTTTAATAGAGGGAGGAGTTTTATTTAGAGCGTATATAAATATAATTTAAGGAGAGGATAATTAAATCAGTTTTAAATTCAACTATTAATTTTAATAAATAATTAGGTATTACAGTCGGACATTACTGTATTTTACTCCCGATAAAAGCGTATAGCAAAGGACAGGAGAGAAAATAAAGTAGCAGCGATTCTATCACTTACTTTAAATTCTATCACTTAATTTTATTCTCTGTAGCAACACGTAAAGCGACTTATGAAGCATGCCTTTGGATAGATTCTTAAATTGGCTTTTTCTATTTCTTTATTTTACTCACATGCTCACGTTAAAATTTTCAAATTAAATCAATTTTAAATAATTTTTTAAAATTAATTATATTAAAATATTTTTTTAATTTTAAATTAATTTATTTTATTTAAATTTAAAAAATTTTATCTCTAAAAATTATAACTTTATGTGAAAAATTTTTATTTTCATATTAGAAATAACTGAAAAATTTTAAAAAATTTACATGAACATTCCCATTGATATTGTAAGGAAATTAAAAATAACAAAGTCGCTTAATTATTTATTATAGAAATCTCAAATCCCTAGGATTTGAGAGGACGTAAATTATGTAAGCATAATGCATGGTTAATCCTTAGTTTAATCTTTAATATTTTTATATACCTTAATTTCCATATTTTAATTACACTCATTCCCCGTTCATTCTAGAGGTATATTATTGAAAAAAATAGAATTAAATGACTTCAATCTTATTTTCCGTAGCTACACAATATTAATGGAAATACCCATTCACGCGAACTTGATATTTTCCTTACCTTTTTGGACTGATCAACTTTTCCAAGTTTTTATTTTTACGATTTTTGCCGTTAGGAAAAATGTTGGGAAAAGTCTTTATACATAAAAATAAATACCGTATTTTCTCATATTGAGCGACATGCCGCTCTAATTTTTAATCCCCTTTCAAATTGCCGCTCTAGTGGAAGCCGCCGTTCAACTAGAGGCCGCCGCTCTATTATTCATTCACTAAATTTCAGCTAATGAGATTTCTTTTGTTTATAAAAATGAAAGCAAAATCCCCACATTTCAGGACCCTCACCCAATCTTTTGCAATTTTCTAGAATTTATCCGGATCCGCGTTTTTTCGCGGCTTCCAGATTGTTTTAACTGGTTTACTGACAATATTCCTGCTGAAATTTCCAAAATTTTGACTTGCGGCACATGGAAACAAGCAGGCACCTTTTTAGAAACAAGTACCGTTTTGGAAACCTTGGTACTGTAAGCCAAATATTTGGCTCTACTTTAGGACATGCGTCCCATGAACTTTTATGCTCCCATCAAAGCATATGCGTCCCGAAAATAGTATAAGTTTCATCAGACTCCGTTGACCATCTGATCATTTAATTGATCGTAACTCCCTCACATTCCTCCGCGACCCTCCTAGCTCCCTCACCATCTAATTTTTATATTTGATTGAAAGTTATCCTTCATATTTGAGTCATTTAACTACTTATAATTTGTTTCAATATTTTTTTTCGAATTTTAATCAGATTTGACATCCAAAAATCTTTATTTAAAATCACAAAAATGCGTTCGATTGGAGGCAAAATTATTATTACAGCCGTTCTTTTGGTGATTATTTTTGAATTCGATGTCGTGTCTTGTACTAGACCTGGAGGAAGACAGAGAGTACAGGTTAATATGCGTGCGAAGTTTATTATCAGTATTTTATGGACCCTAATTTTCTTTATCAATTTTCAAAAACCCAATATGTTCGGACCTAAAAGGGTTTAGCAAAAATTTAGCCACCGGACAGAATTCGAACCCGCGCCCACGTTCACCATATATAGAAGCTCTAACTATGATCTACCCTGAGGCATCGACTAATGCTTTCGCTTTTTCCCTTTTAGATCGTTTAACCCAGAGTGTCCCTTTCCAAAACATCAAAATAGGGCGAAGCGACTCAGAAATATGGCAAAAATAGAGCAAAATTGGTCAAAAATGGGGCAAAAAATAGGGCATTGTTTTAAATACTTTAAAATACTTAAATTTTTATAAATACTTAAATTTTATTATGAATATTCTTCACTAATTTAACGCAAGAAATGCAACGAAAGAAACACAAAAATGGGAAAAAAATGGAAAAATTTTTTTTATCAGTTTTTGGCTCGATTACAACTATTATACGTCCAACAACTTTTATACATCTAATTAGAGTTTTTGCGTCCAATAAAAAGTTTATGCGTCCAATCAATTTTTTATACGTCGAGTCAAAGTTTATGCGTCCAAATAAATTTTTGCAGTCCAATAAAAAAATAAATTCATTAAAAATCAGAATAATTTTTATTAAGTATAACGCCTTGCTCACAAAGTAAACACTACCGTTAAAACCGAAACCTCCTAATACTGTCGTAGATTATTATAAGTCTTCAAGACCGCTGTCAGGGATGGGCAACAAGAGTTCAGGTTAAGACAATGCTAGGTCGCGTAGTAGAAGTTGATGATTCAAAATTGTTTCACACTAAGTATAATAGAAGGAATATGTTAATGCGGCAATAAGACTGGGTGTTTGGTATGGTCGAGCGAGGAACTAATATAGTCCGTAGCTTATATATACACTTCTCCCAATTATAGCAAATAATGTAGCCGCATCGAATTCTTTTCCTTCTAATTTTTTGTTAAACCCCGACCCCGAACTCCGACATGCTCTCCGGAAAATCCCGATCCCCGATCGACCCGGAAGGCTCGGGGAGCTTCCCTAGTTTATACTTTCATAAAAATGGGTTTTTCATAAGAAGCATAACCTGGAATTATTCTTTAGAAATTTATATGCGATCTAATAAGTTTTTCATAAGTTACTTGGTCAAGAGCTCCCTCTAATATAAGAGTCACATATGACTTTTTTATTAACTATTTATCTAATTTAACATTTTCAAATTTTCGCATTGAAAAATTCCAATTCAATTTCTAGGCACCAGCTTATAGTGGATTTGTACATCAATATCAAAACATACTAGCTCACTTAAATAATCTTAGAAATGGATTTCATATAAATGAATTGAATCAGCTGGTTAATTTTCATTAAAAATAAATTTAGAAATTGGTTTTGGAAAATATCCTTAAGGATATTTATCCAGATTTTTATTTCACCAATTCCGGACCAGATATTTGGAAAAGATTCCGTTTCGTATTTTCGTTGGGTTCGTTAGTATTTTGTATTTTTGTGTTGTGACGAAACAACAAAGTTTTTACCGTTTCGTTTCGAAATTTTTGTTTCATATCGTTTGTCATGATAATTTTTATTTTCGCGCGGATCTTTTCCTACCGTCAATAGGATTTATATTTTTTCAATTAAAAAATACATTCGTGTCATTCTATTTTTTTAAATTCAATTAAAATAGTATATATTTTCTAATTTATAGGCACAACAAGCTGAAAATCTCTATGATTTTGCACAAGATCCAGAAATCCAACAAGCTAATCTGGTAAATATAAATTTTTATGGTCGCAAAAGCAAATGCAAAAGGGCATCCGTTCATTCTCTAATCCACGGGTTTCTTGTTTGGCTAATAGGTCAAAAATGAACTAGGACTCAAGCACTACTATATTATATTCCTCTGCCTATTTTTCCTTTACTTTCATAAAGATTATCAACTGATAGGACGTAAGTTTTGAGGTAATAATAGAGGAAGTATTTAAATATGAGAAAAGTTATTAAAAAATATTTAATTAAATAAAAATTTACTGAGTATAAATCTGTAATAAAAAATAACTTTTGAAGCAAAATTTGGATTTTGAAACTGCTTCAGCGTGACATTGTTTCACAATTAAAATTTTTATAGATCCAAACCCAGATTTTTTTCATATATTTTTTAGCACCTTGAATTAGAGTCCAAACTGAAATAGTTCCTCACTTTAGAGTGAAGTTGAAAAATTGACCTCATCCTGAAATAAAGCCCCCTATTAATGAGATTTGAAGGATTAGAAGGGTATTGGAGGATTTGTGAGTATTAAGAATGATATTAGTAAATTCGGATAGATAAATATCATTAAGCCTTCTAACACTCATTAGTCATACTAACTTGTAGATTACCACCTTTCATGCCTGAACCTATATCGACTTTATCCCTTTTATTCCTTTCAAATCCACATTAATTCAGGGAGCTAACGAGTATATCGTGAGATTTGGTTAATTTAATTTATATTTGTTTTTAAATTATTAAATACAAATATTTGAATAGGTACAAGGAGTTCGACAACGCACATCTCAATTAGTTACTCGGATTAAAGCTGTAATTGAACATCAGGTTATAGTGATAATTTATTTTTAATTGTGTTTCGTTACATATTTAATTTCATGTGGGTTAGAAACAAGATGTCCCTTGGGACGCGAATGATGAATAAAAAATGAAAATAAACGTAAACACAATAATGCTGCTAAGGAAAGGGGTTTGGCGAATAATACAGGCAAATTTGATAAAATAAAAAAAGGCTGAAGCGGTCGACTCAAAATATAATGTTTTCAGTTAAACTTTTTAACAAATTTCTAGGCACGTCGACGCATTGATTATCTCAATCAAAGCCTTAATAATTTGGTAGCTCAAATGGGTTCGTCTACAACTGAATATCTGGTTCAATTAATTTTTATTAAATCATTTCTTAATGGTTATTGCATATAAAAATCGTACTTTGTCAGCGATCACCACGTTGTCCTATGTACAGGGTCGCCCAAAAAGTTTAGAAACAATTGATTTTGCCCTAAATTTTTTCGCATTAACATATAACAAATTGGGCCCACAATTCTACTTTTTCTAATACTCTTATTAAACATTACCAAAATCACTCATCTTTAATGCAAAGTACTGTTATTTACAAAACAGTCAAATCCATGATTTTCGTGAACACTAAGATAAAAATGAATATAAACTAGTATCTACGGGAAAAAGACCCAAACTTGCCTCAGTTTGGGTATCGGGCAACTTTTTGCATAGGGATGGGATCTTTCAGCAGAATTCGTCCCGTTAGCATAATTCTACAGTCATGCCAATTTGCCCTGCTCTCGTTTCAAATATGGCCAACGATCACACTGGATTTTAATCGTAGGAAAATCACTCTCGATCTGGTGACACTTTTGCCAAAAGCGTCTTCAACCTTGTATACAAACAAAGTATAATCAATGATATTTGTTTCTTATTTGATTCTTTATCATTTAAGATTTATTTGATTTCATTATATTTATTTGCTAAACTTTTTTGGTCACCCTGTACAATGTAACAAGTTTAGTATGTATTACCCAAATTGAATCATTTAATACTATATCCGCTATAAAACTATAGACAATCCTCATAAAATACCTAATTAATAATTTTTTACGTCCAATTTAAGCAATTAATTCCCACTTAGGATAATTAAAAAATAAATTCGTGCAAATTTATAGATCAAACAAGCTCGAGTCCTTAATCAAGAATATGTTGACTTTGGCCTTATTCTACCAAATGCAACGCTTGAAACCTATGAACTACAGAATGTAAATTATTAATAATTATAAACATGTTCATGTGCATCCTAGAAAAAGCTCCGTGGTTTAGTTAGGGAAATTACAACTAGGGATGATAAGTTTTTGGATTATTTTATTAGTCTATATTTTTTATCTATTTCTTAATCTAGGAGTAAAATTTCGTAATTTTGATTAAATTCAAAAGTCCCGCTTGCCTATTAGAACTTGATCAACACCAAATGAGCATGCCACCCACAAAATATAAATAGCATTTCTAAAAAGTTGTGTAGGTTTCGTTTATGAAAGTCTTCCTTTAATTTTAAATATTGTAAATCTAATATGTATATTATTTATACTCGGAAATAAAATTATTCATCTCAAATTATTTATAAATTAAATTTATTTATAGCTTTTGCAAATTGGAAACAACATTATTGGTTTCATAAATCATTTGGATCAGGTTCTTATAAAAAATACATAATTAAACATAAATTACTGGTAATAGATTGGAATATTATATTGTAAAAATTCGAAATGCATATACCGTAAATTTTCTAAAATAGGCCCCCCTCCAAAATAAGCCTCCCTCTAAAATAAGCCCCCCTCCTAAAATAAGCCCCCTCCCCCAGAAAATTTTTAATTGTTGATTAATTGTTGTTCCCCTTCAGTTGAGACTCCATGGAGGGATATAGAAGGATTATAAGTGGTTAGAAGTGTATTTGGAAGATTAACAGATATATAAAGGGATCAACGTATATAGATATCGAGGGATTTTAAGTGATTAATAGCGATATCGGAGGACTTGTAGGTTTAACGGGATATATATGGATAGTAAAGATTAAGGGAGGTCGAAAAAAATAAGCCCCGCGGCTTATTTTAGAGGATTTACGGTAGGTATTATAGTAAATAAGTTTTATAACACCATATATGGTAATGGATACGGATAATATCTGAATATAAGCAATTTATTTTGTTGCTCCAGTAAATATCGATGCAGAGTTTCCACCGAAATTGTGATAATTGATCCTTGTAGTATCTTTAGATGTGAGATTCCTGCAACAAAATACTTTATAAAGACTAAGTTATGACTGAAACAGCGATAATTATATGTAGAAATGTTAATTAAATTTTACAATTTATTTATTATATAGCAGCCACCAAGCGGCTGAAACTTTTGTGAATTGAAAGCGCAGAGAATTGGTCATAGCTGAAGAAAAAAATTTGGGTGATTTATTATTATTCGGTTCCATTGCGCTCTTTATAAGAAAATTTTTTTTAAACTTCCACCACCTTTCGGAAACAACCTAACAACATTTGTTCTAGTCCATATTGGATCTAATCGGACCAGGGTGACTTTTTCCAAAACAGTAAAATAGGCGAAGCCACTCAAAAATTTGGAAAAAATAGGGCGAAATCGGTTAAAACAGGAAAAATAAGGATTGTTTTAAAAGCTAATGAAAAATTTCAAATAAAAAGCTTTATTGAGTAATTTTCACTAGTTTTATCTAAATTGAGCAAATTAGGATCAGAGATTTTCTAGATAAAAATATATTTATAAAATAATAAATCGATAAAATTTCAAAAATATCGAAATTGAAATTGAAAATGAGTTTAAGAATCTTCAAACTCGAAAGTCGGACCAAAAAGTTTGGATATCCAAATTCGAACCCGATAACCCCTCAAAATTCATGCATGATCTTTTTCGCGTTGATTATAATATTACGCCAATATTCTCCTTTGCAGCGCCGCAAGCGGTTATTTTGATAAAGTAGTACTTTTTAAATGATTTTATAAGAATTTACTATGCTTTTTTGAAAATTTGGAAGGCTAAGAGCTATTCGTTTTTCGCATTCGTTTTTCGCATTTTATTTACAAAATTCCAAAAAATTAAAAAATTATAAAACTAGGGCAAAACATGGCAAACCTAGAAAAAAGGGAGCAAATAGGGCGAAAAGACAAAGATAGGCAAAGCCTGTAAATATGGAAAGTGTCACCCTGATTTGTCAAAAGATAACATGTATTTTGTTAAACATCAAATGAGCTTCTTTATTTCTTTTTAAAGTTAGAATCCTTATCGTAAATTAATTGTATTCTATCCGTAATCTTTCATTTGTATGCTACCATGGGTTAAGCAATACCAACTATTTTACGTGCAATCAGGGTTGCCGCGGTTACAAAAAATCTTCGGGTACGGGTTTCGGGTATCGGGTACAAAAAAAGGCCAGGTCTCAGGTTTCGTGTTTCGGGCGGCAACCCTGGTTCCAATGTTTTTATTTAAGCACATTTTTCAAACAGTGTTTTTGTTAGTTAAAATTAGAATTGTCTTTTTGATAAATTTCTTTCTTTTACATGACTTTGTTAATTAGAATTGAGCGTTTTAAATTCAGATTGCTAAATAAGTTTATTTTTTAAAAAGTTTTAAATTAAAAAGTAGTTTTCAAAAAAATTTTAAACAATTAACTAAAACAGCCAAAATTTTTATAAAAATTTATCTCGGAAAGGACTCAGACATACCGGTAAGGACTACATTACTATTTTTAATGTATGATACAAAAACTCATATTTATCTTAACACAATTTGTTGGTCTCTTATCTAAGGTCATTGTGTCGATAAAATATTTTATTCTTTTCCCCATTAAGAAAATTAGACAAAAATTCGAAATATAAATAGCAAAACATAATTTTATATTATTACCCAGCAAAAAATACTAAATTTCAATGATCGATATTTATGATCGATCCCCCGACTAATAAAATATTAAATAAAATTTCTCGGCTAATTAAATGCAAAACAGACAGGACTTGATAAATTTGTTAAGATCAAATTTAGCTCTTGTAATTTACGATACTTGTCTATTTAGCTCTGCGATCCTCTCCTATTTGGTTGTAATCATTTGGCCGAAAACTGTCTCGTAGAAGAAAATAAAATTCTTGTATATTTTCTCAAATTTCTTTAATATCATTAACATACTTCTAAGGAAATTTCAGAATTTTTTATCAAATATTTTTTAAGTTATTGCGATATACTATGAAGAAATAGATATTTTTAGTAACCGAGGAATTTTTGGCCAATTTATTAAAGTCAGGCTCAGAATTTCTGAAATTTATGAATAACTTGGATATACATGTATGGGTTTATTATTACAAAATTTAATATTTCTAGATAATCAATTCACTATTTTAAATAAATATATGTATTGGTTCACGCTAAAATGTTTTGGTTCTCGCCAAGACGGCGTGAACCAAAAATCTTAGTTTTGCAAATAAATTTATTTAATAAATTGATGTAGAGGCCATGAATAAAGAAATATTTTTTAAAGAATTTTGATCTGAACTAATCTTATAGATAGTGCTTTCTTTCAAAATTTTCTTAAAATTAGCGACTCGTCATACAAATGGAATGATACTCCGACCCGATACCTTTAAAGATAACGAAAAACCTATAGATGCCGATAAACTTCAAAATTTTATCGTTTGGTACCGGGCTATAATATCTATTAAAATCAGTACGACGCGGATATTTTTTAACTAATCCTTAATATAAGAAAAAAAATGGAAAAATAGCTAAATAGTATCCGGGCGGTTGCTTCACCGGTTTACAAACCACTGTTTTTTGTCCTGTTCAGTTAATCGTTTGTGGCAAACTCTAATAGGAATTATTTTAACTTATATAATTTTTTAATATTTTGAAAAATAAAATTTTTTTAATAACATATCCCAATTATTAAATAAAAATAGTGTGTGATTTTATTACAAGGACACGTGTTTGACACGCAATTGCACTTAATTTATTGTAGTGACCATAAAGAAATAAATATTTTTTAAAGAATTTTGAACTGAACTAATCTTATCGATAGTGCATTCTTTCAAAAAAGATTAAAATTAGCGACTCGTCTATCAATTGAAATGATAACATTCACATGACAAACAAACCTTTTTTTAAAATTTATTTTGTGTTTATATATAGCAGATGATTTTCTCCATTTTTATACATTTTGAATTTAAATAAAATTATTCATTTCTTTAAAATTTTTAAAGCAATTAGCTTTATACATATCTGTTAAAAATAATGAAAATTCATTACAGATCATTTATAAGGAATGTGTTTTTACGTTGCTCGATCATCCTAATAAAATTTTTTTAATTTCATATAAAATTTTGAATTTTCTTAAGGGTGTAGGTCTTCAGTGGTAGTCTTTAGTCTTCAACTCACTGTTTGATCGTATTGCTTTTTGTGAGTCTGGATAAATCAGTGCTTCTTGTGAAATTTGGAATAGTGCGAAGATCCTAGAGACCTGCGAGACCGTAAATTTTCTATGACTCATGACAAAGACTAGACACCAAGACCCAAGACTAAATCTTAACCCCAGGCTAAATATTATACTATCAATTAATAAGACTCAAGACAATTTTTTGGTCTCATAGGGCAAATTTTTTGTTTAGTTTTTGAAACAGTGTTGTACACTCTGTTAAGAAAGTATAAGCACCTCTAAAATTTTTGTGAAAATACATGATCCGTAAGCATAATTTGTTTTTTTCCTACATTAGCAGGGATCCAAAACATCAATAAAAATAAAGTTTTTTTGTGATCGTATTTGGAAATGACTTCCGATTTCAGATGCTTTAAATTCGAACGATTTTCTCCGGATTCCTCAGTTAAATAACTTGCTATTTTTCTTAAAAATAGCAGGTCATTAACAGGGCCAAGCCATTCCCTTAAAACATAACAAACTTTAGATTTTAATAAAATTTGTTCTGTATATGTAAATATTTATTTAACCTCTTAACAAGTTTTAAACGTATATTAGAAAACATTTTACTTGTTTTAATAATTAAAAACATAATAAAAGCTGTTTATTGATGTTCGCAGCTCCTTGTGGGTTTGGATTTTAGATTATTGCCACTGAAATTCACCTCTTTACCGCCAATGGCGAAAATTTTTGGAATAGGAAAAAATTTTTAGAAATCAAAATTTCCGGATATATGAACCGAAAAATCTGGGGTTCCTCGGTTTTGCTCGTTTCCTCACCAAAATTTGTAGTGGTGAAATAAAAAAAGAAAATTTAGAAATTTATGTGCATGGTGATAAAATATGTACATATCTAAATTGCTTTTTGAAAATTTCAAGACGTTTTTATAGAAAAAAAATTGAAAATGTGTGCACACAAAATTGTTATAGTTTTATTATTTGTGGTACTTTGGAACGAAATTGATTGCTCAACTAGAAGGGGAAGAAATTCGCGCACTCAAGATCCTCTTCAACCAACTGGGGAAGCTTCGACTTCAAGAGGAGACGAGGAAAATACTCAAACAACTAGCCCAAATCGTGTAACAAATGTAAGGACTCATTTAGGAAATATTGCTTTACTTGCTCGGCGACCAGCGGAAAGAAATCAGCCAAGTAACTTAAATGCGATACATATTACCCTATTATGTTTAACAGATTATCAAGAAGAGGTCGAGCCTCAGTATGATCAACAACACAATGTAGAGCATGATCAAACCCGCCAAAATGAGCCCGGAGAGGTAATTTTATAAAATCATTATGAATAAAAATCTCTGATGTAAATTTTGCTTCCATTTACATATAAGGAAATCCATATTTTTCCTGAATTTCTATAACGCTGAAATGTACGAAAAACATGTTTTGATTTGTTTTAGTGTTTCTAGAATGGTCTTTAAATCCATATTTTTCCATATTTCGGCATTATGCCCCACTCCTTTTTTGAATTTTTTGGTAAATATTTGGTCATTTTTTGGTAAATTTTAGCAAAAATTGGCAAAAATTCTCAAAATTTTGGGAATTTTTGGTCAAAAAAATTTTTGAAAATTTTTCGGAAAAATTTATTTTCAAAGAAATTTTAACAGAAATTTTAAATCCATAAAATCTTTAGAAATGCTCTTAAAATTCAAAGTTAAAGGCAAAATTATTGTTTTATACATAAAATACTGATTTTTAAAATATCTTTTCATTATATTTTTATCCATATTTCAGGATTTTATATCCATATTTTATGTCCAGATTTTTTGATTTTATATCCATATAAATGGAAGCCCCATTAATAATATACTTAATATACTATTGTATATAATCAATTACCTATATTTATTCTAATATAGGAAGTGGAAAATCCTATAGGAGGTGGATTCAGAATTTGTGAACATTTGTTTGACGGTTGGTTATAATTAAAACTTTCGTTTCTGTACATGGTCAAAATAGAGTTTTTCTCAAACTTAAAATTTTTTTCATTTATAAATAATTTTAAATAAAAATAATTATAACTTCAGCAACTATCTATATTTAATAAATTAATAGGTCAAAATATTGGCAATATGCAAGCTCCGTTAGAATGGGCACAACCACCTCCAACGAATAACTATTCTGTATACAATCCTAATGGATTAAATGTGATTTATGTTATAAAAATCTAAAATGGACTTTGGGAACATTATATAAATTTTGGATCATACCCTATTCTAAAAGAATTTCAAAAGCCCAATAACTAGCTTAAATCGATCATATATTTTGTACATTAAAAGTCTTTGGAATTTTAAGCAAATCTGAATTTAAGAAAAACTGGGACCGACCAAATTGTATTTAATCAGCCAAAAAAAATTTAAAATATACTAATTAAATTACTATATTAGTTAACTGTTGATCTGTATGGACCTCAACAACATAATGTAGGAACTAGTCATGCTCGTCAATCGGGATCAAGAAGAACTAGACGTAATAGAAAAAACGCCGCTCCTCCTCTTCGATACGGTAACTATTCATTTTAATCGAATCATAATTATAAATTTACAGGCTATCTTGCGCCATCAGATGATGAACAACAATGAGACAACGAATAGGACTTTTAAGAAAAAATAGGAGGTGAGCATTGTAACGATTATTCGAGTGATTACATTCATTTGCTCATTGTGGTTGTTATTTATTGAGCAAACTCTTTTCTATTTTCTTTTCTTATTATTATACCACCACAAGATGGTAATGGCAACTAAAGTCTATCGGTATACCTAAAAAATTTGTCTAGTTCCATATTCAATAGCTAGTAATAGAGACTTCCAAGACCGGAAATTTTCCAGGACTCAAGACCAAGACTTGACTCAAATCTTAAATCTATTTTTTAGTCCCGTAGTCTTAGAAAAGTCTTAGAAAAGTAAATTACAAATATTTACTATATTGCCATTACCATATTTACGGGCAACATTTTCCTTTTTATTCTTTTCCTGGCTCATTTTGGTTGTTAATTTTTGAGCACTCTTTTCTTTGATCTTATTTAAAATTTATTTCTTTTATTATTCGAATCTGTTTTTTACAATGGTTGAGTAAACTTTTCATTTTTCAAACTCAAAAATTTTAACAAATATTACAGTCCATCGAATTATTATAAAAATATTAATTAGAACTAACTAATTATTGCCATCCCTCAAACACCTCTTCCATTTTAAACGAGTGATTAACTGCCTTTCTTAAATTAGCTATCAATCTAGCGATACGGTAACATATCTTTAGCTAAAGTAATTAATAACTACAATCGAAAAAATATTTTAGATTTAAGAATTTTATCAAGGAGCATAGTAACAGAGTCAAAGCCATTATATTATTTTTATGCTTATTTATTTGTGCTGAAGATTTTTGACGAACCCGAGGTGTTGTGCCCTTAATAAGCGTAGTAGATTCCTTTTTAGACGATATTTTCGTGGTTGTGGAAGATACCCAACTGTTTATTTTTGTTTCAGCCGTTGTTGTTGATAAGGGAAGTAAAGAGTCTTCATTACACAAATCGGTGTGATTACACGTTACACAATTTTTGTATTTTGGAGGGCATTCACCGCAGTTTTGTTCGACTTAAAATTTAATTTTCAAATCGAAAAAGTTAAGAAAAGTCCGAAAAATCATGTAGAAGAACGATTTATTTAAAATTTTCCTACTCCTCCAGAAGATGTCCCTAGCAATGTAACAACTGTCAACAGATGGATGGCATGTCTTAGCTTTCTTCTCATAAGGCTGTTGATTGTAAGTAAGTTTGTAACACTTAATTTGAGAAAGTTTTGTTTCATCATTGCAGAGAGGAGTTGAGCAATTAAAACATTTATCCAGATTATGTTGTCCAGAACATTTGCCACAACCTTGTACTATTCCTTAAAAAATAGGCACAGATAACCGACAAATACCAAAAATTTTAATTTACCCTTTTCTCCTTTATTAATCCCAACAAAGCATAATCCTTGTTTACAAACTCTTTTTCCTTTCGTTGCTGTCCATTCCTTAAACTCTTTTTCCCAACAAAACAAATGACTTTCAAAAAATGTATCTGCATTACAAGCTGGTTTATTGTTACATTGGGCGCATTGAACATTACTCATATTTATTTTCTTTATTTTGTTTTGGAGTGTTAGACCTTTAGTCTTGATGTATGGAGAAAGGTTGAGAATGCCTGATGGACATTTTCCACAATCATAGTGGAATTGGTCTATCTTCTCGTCTATAATATTGGGAATTTATATTAGGGTAGAAATTGACCCTTCGGGGGTTTCGGGATTGGAGTGACAGTATATTTAGTGTCGGGAAAAAGCCAAGAGTCAGAAATCCTCGTTTTTTAAAATCGAGAAAATGGCAAAACTCTTTGTTAGCATAGGAAACGAAAATTTTTGAGTTTCTAGAGATAGTGATTTGCCGGTATGGCCTTCTGGTTCAGCTCGGACAATGTTTGTGAGATGGAGTGTTACCCTAGTTTAAAGAGAAACACACCTCCATTCTTCTCTTCAATTTTAGCAATATAACAGTCAGATTTATTACAATTCCTATAACTATTCATAAAGCCAAAGCAATAGAAAGGATCTTGATTATTACAAAGATGGTCATTACATTCTTCACATGTATGGAAAGGGCATTTTCCACATCCTTTTTTAACTTTAAAAAATTTTTTTTTAACTTTAAACAATTGTAGAGTTTAAACCCTCATTTGTTGATGTTCTCAATGTATAGCAAGGATTTTTAGTTTTACATTTTTCATTTTTATTTGTCCAACAAAGCTTGGCAACTTTGTCTTCAGTATTACAATAACGGTCTGTACATGCAATACAGTCAATTTTGTCGTTCTTTATGCACTTTCCACATCCTTGTGTTACTAAGAAAAAATAATAATTTAATTCACATAAGGTCCGACCTCACTATAAGTTATCAACTTGGGGTACTCAATCTTATAAAGAAGGGTACCTTTAATTGGGGATTTAACTCAGGCAGCTTCTTTTCTCCGCCAATGGCTAACTACATTGTGTAAGCATCAAAGGTGTAATCCTTGAGAAAGTGATAGAAACAACGCTTAGAGAGAAGGTGCATATAAGCTAAAGGAAAATAGGGAAAAGCATCTTAGTTGGTGTCCATTCCAACTTAGTTCTTCATTACTCATGGCCTAGTGTTCGGTCGGCTATAAGCCTGACCAATAACCAATAATCATTCACCCCGCTCGCTTGCACTACCTCTGGGAATTCTATTCACCGCACGCATAATCAACATCTCTCTTAATTAGGGCTGGCCCCTCTAATTAATAATTTACTATTGTAAACGTCTCTTAAATAGAGGTTTATCCACTAGATTGAGTGCATCTTATATGAGAGAATAAATGTAAAAATTAATTCCCTACCATTCCCAGTTGTAAAATTCCTCAAAACAAAACATTTATCTCTACAAACTCTTGCTCCTTTAACTATTTTTGTTTCATTCTCCGACTTCTCAAAACAAAACATTTGTTTCTCCAAAAACTTTTCAGTATTACACAAAGGACCATTATTGCATTCTGCACATTGAATTCCACTTAAATTTGTTCCAGACAATCTTTTGGAGAGAGACACATTAGATGTACAGGGTGTTTCAACTAAGAAATACTATTTGAAAACTCAATAACTTTTTGCAAAGTTGACAGATTTTAACGATATTTTGTATTTTATATCTATATTTTATAGCATTTTTTTTGACATAAAAATTTTGTCTAAATTCGAACCCTAACCCGAGATAATTTCGTACTCTACCGTTCTGTTTTTCCCTTTTTCCGCACATGCATTCTTACTTCCCTTTATTTGTTGTAAGGGGAGACAGACACTAGAGTAAACACTAGGCGATAGACACTACATTTTCAATACAGTATCCACTCTTCGCCATACACAGGAAAATAAATGAAGTAAGTTAGCATGCAATGCAAAGAGAAAAAAAAGAGAACGGTAGAGTACGAAATTGAAATACAGGGTTAGGGTTCGAATTTCGAAAAAATTTTTATGTCAAAAAAAATCCTAGAAAATATAGATATAAAATACCAAATTTCATTAAAATCTGTCAACGCAGAAAAAAGTTATGGATTTTTCAAATAGTATTTCTTAGTTGAAACACCCTGTATTTTTAAAGAATTCGTTGTTGACTGGACACTTTCCACAGTCGTAATAGAATTCATTAAGATTATTGACTGAAAATGAAAGCTTTATAGTAAGAGCGAGAAAAGTTTAATCCGGGCGGCATCGATCCCGCGCCTTCCTGG